AAGTTTTCCTCTTGCAATTTCTAATGATGAGAGTAGGATCTGGGTGCTATATGATCATGAATATAGGTGTGATTTTTTTGCCGTTTCACATCATTTCATGGCATTGAAGGTTACCCATTCTTTCTTACGTTGCTCCTTCATTGCAGTCTTTGTTCATGCGTCGTGTGTTCCTTACGACTGTGAGGTGCTTTGGCAACAGTTAGTAGGGGTGTGCCCACAGGGGGAGTCGGCAGTTTTTTGGGGGATTTTAATGTCATTGCTAGTGTGAATGAGAAAAAAAGGGGGTTGTTCGTTTTGCGTTAGTAAGGTTGAGTCGTTCCTGAATTTTATTGATGGTGCTAGGTTGACAGATTTGGGATTCTCAGGGACTAACTTTACCTGGTGTAATAATCGATTGGGCAGTGCCAAAATTTGGAAGCGTCTAGATAGGGTTCTAGTGAACCAGCAGTGGTTGAATTTAGATATGAATATATCTGTGACTCACTTGAATAGAGTTGCCTCGGATCATTCTCCTTTGTTAATCACATGTTCTCTGGCTTTGGGTGTAACTCCTAAAAGCTTTCGGTTTTTGGATGTTTGGAAGTCACATGCTGCATTTCATAAGGTGGTTAATCAAGCGTGAGAGGTGGAATGTGAGGGTCGGCCTATTAAGGTTCTAGTCATGAAATTAAAGGCAGTGAAGCAAGCATTGCGGAGGTGGAATAAGGAGGTTGTTGGAAATGTTTTTGACCGCATCAGGGAAGATGAAGAGAAGGTCATGACAGTGGAATGCTCCTTGGGGGAGAGGCCAACGGAGGAGGGGCAACATCAATTTATCCAGGCATAGGGTGAACTCAAGGCATCTCTTCTACGGGAGGCCAACTATTGGCGTCAGAAAGCATGTATTCGGTGGCTTAAGGAAAGTGATGCCAATTCTAAGCTTTTCCATGCACAGGTAAAGCAGAGGAGGGCTCGTACTTATATGCATAGAATGAAGGACAGGAACGGGGTTTGGATTGACGAGTCCGCTAAGATTGAAGAAATGACAATTGAGTACTTCGCTGATATTTTACTGCAGTCTGGACAGGTGCAGGTGGATCATTCGTTGTTAGGAGTTATCCCTTCGGTTATATCTGAGCAAGATAACATGGAACTTCAACAGTTTCCCACGGAGGAGGAGGTCAAAATAGTGGTTTTCCAAATGAATGGTGACAGTAATTTGGGCCCGGATGGATTTAAAGGGTCTTTCTTCACTTCATGTTGGGATATAGTAAAGGGTGATGTTTATCGGGCTGTTTGTGATTTTTTTACTGGAGCGGAGCTATCCTAGGGGTATACATCTACGTTGTTGGCCTTGTTCCCTAAGATACCAAGGGCGTCTTCTTTTTCAGAATTTCGGCCAATCAGTTTTTGTAACTTTGTGAATAAAATCATTTCTAAACTATTGGCAATGCATTTAGAAAGGATCTTGTGGAAGATAATATCGCCGCAACAAAGCGATTTTATAAAGGGTAGGCAGATTTCAGATAATATATTGTTGGCGTTGGATATGTGCTCTGCCTTAGGGAAGAAGGTGAGGGAATCTAATGTTGCTCTAAAACTGGACATGGCCAAAGCTTATGATAGGGTTTTCTGGAATTTTCTGATCCAAGTCATGTGAAGGTTTGGTTTTGGGGAGCGATGGATTGACATGGTTTGTAGATTGATTTCGTCTTGTCATTTCTCTGTTCTAATTAATGGGAAACCATGTGGTTTCTTTCAATCGTCTCGGGGATTACGTCAAGGGGACCCCTTATCTCCGGCATTATTTATTATTGCGGTTGAGGTGTTATCTAGGAGTTTGAATGAATTGATGGGCAATCCGAAATTTGATCATTTCTTTGTGGCGTGGGGATGTCCTACACTGACGCATCTTGCATATGCCGATGATATTATCATCTTTTGTAATGGTGGTAAGCGCTCCTTAAGATATGTGATGAAGGTGCTAGATGGCTACCAGGTGGCGTCAGGGCAGATGGTGAACGCTGCTAAAAGTTGTTTCTTGGTGGATAAGAAAGTCTCGTTGCCCTGCCAAAGGGTGATTGCACAAGTCACCGGGTTCCCATTTAAGTGTTTGCCAGTTATCTACTTGGGTTGTCCTTTGTATGGTGGGAGAAAAGTAAAAGCCTTATTTAAGATAGGTCTTCCTTGCGGATGGTTTCTTTAAGCTAAACACGGATGGATGCTCTATGGCTTGAGGAGGTGGGGATGGTAAGGTGAATAGGGATTCTGGTGAGAACTTTATTGTGGCTTTGGCGGATTTCTTTAGCCCTCTAGATTCTTTACAGGCTGAGTCGCGTGCACTTCTTTTAGGGCTCCAATTGGGGCATCGACTAGGGATTTCTCAATTAATTATTGAGTCTGACTACCTGGTCTTGATTAATTGTTTAAGGGGTGGATGGGGGGTTCCAGCTGTAATTCGCCTAGTTGTTCGAGCTATTCGATTGGTTACTCCAAGCTGTCACCAGCTCAGTCATTGTTATCGGGAGGGAAACACGGTGGCTGATTCTCTTGCAGCTTTTGGTGCCACACGTGGCTTCTCATTGTTCACTGCGGTTTCTCAGTTGGCAACTTGTACTAAGGGTCTATTGTCTTTGGATATGCAAAATTTTTGTAGTTTTCATTTTCATTTCGGAGGTAAGGTTTACATCTTCCTCTAGGCATTGTATTCCTGCTTACTATTAATAAAATGACCTTTTGGAAAAAAAAATGTTGTTTATTTAATAATGAATAGATTTTTTTTTTCTTTTTTGAGATTTCATATGTTTAAGTGAAATTCAGAATTTAAATAGGTCACAGTTGCAGATATTAGATTTAGTGGCATAGTTTGGAATTTAATCAAAATACTGTCTTTATTGCAAATAAGCAAAGCCCTTATACGCCTATCTTAAATTCTTAGTTATCTGTTATCTTCCTTCTCATCTGCATATTCTTTTTCTCCATACATCACTTCTCCATCTTTTATTTTCTTTTTCAACTTATGATCTTCTTTCTTTCTAGTTCGAAAGTTCTAAAATTTTTTCCCACTTTGCTTCCTGTCTCTCCTCTCCTTCACTATCAACATCCACTCAAAAAAGTCAAGTACCAGAAAAATTTCAAAGCGTCTAAAATGGATCTAATACTCCTATTTTGTGGACATAGGTACTTTGTAGTAAACTAGTAAACCAAAGAGTCTGGAGTAACACAGTTCCTAATGCACATCTTAGGCTCTAATTCACCTACTCTATAGTCGATGGTTAAGGAAGACGACAGATTTCTAGACAACTGGTGCTACACAAAATGCAGAAACCATGCTAAACCACCAGTGCTTGATCAGACGAACAAGATTTCGTGAAAACACACAAGCTATCCATGATCCAAAGTTGTATACAATTGACAACAGTGATGCTGATGCAGTCAACAAAGAACTCTGATAATTGAAAATTAAAGATTTTCATGATTTTCCTCAAATTTCAACTAGGAACCACAATAGGATTTTATTTAAATTCATCATAGCTTTAATTTTTAAGAGTTTCTATTATTTAGGTCATAAGTAGTTTGGTCTTTTAAGTTGTAATAGAAATTTCCAAAATTCGTCTGTATTGAATCTTTATTCTATTAACTAAGTAATTGCAGTCATCGTTAGAGGGTAAATTCCTAGAAGTTTTTAGAGTTCTACAACTAGCTAATTTCCTATTGAGGATGGAAATAGGAGCCTCTTGGGCAGCCTTTTGGTATATGCATACTTTATGTTGCTATGTTACTCTTTGGAGAGAATTTGATGAATAAGAATTGACTTTTGTTTAGTAATTGTTTTAGGTATATTATGGACATCAATTCATGTCCAGGTCCGTTTAAGCTTAAACCAATCTTTATACGATACTCTGGACACAGAACAATTTTTCCAAAACAATATAGGTTTAAACCTTAAACCAATCTTTATATGATACTCTGGACATAAAATATATATAGACTTTCTTAATTATAACTGTCCATGAAATTTTTCAAGGTGTTAATTATTTACTAAAATCCTCCTAAGTGGCCCATCTTGATTAGATTTAATTTATCCACATCCTTTGCTATCATATCATGATCCCAATATAAAGAAATGTGGACCATTATTAGATAGTAATTTTTTTTAATATATACAAGCTTATGAGACTCGTTCTAAATTTGGCGCAAGTTCGGGTCCTCATATACCTTAACTTGTTGGAATAGTTGTTTCAAATAATGGTTATTGAGGGTTTTAAGCTGGAATGAGATACAAATTAAATTGAAAGTGATTTAGATGTGTACTGTGAATTATAATTAAACTTTTTCCTTCTATTCTAATTTTCTTTATTTCATTTATCTATGGCAATAGTTTCATAAAATCCAACTTTATTTTGCTGAATAGTTGGATTGTAAGAAAGTGCTCTCCAACAACTAGACTTGGGCTAGTGGTTAGGGGATAACTCTTAGAGCATCCTGCTTGCTGTTAGGATTCGAATTCACTAAAAGAAAAAGAAAAATTGATATCCTCTTTTATCAAACTTAACCAAATATAAAAACAAAAAAAATTAAATTAATAAAAAAATTTGGAACTATGCCAGTTTCCTATGGTCATATACTTCTTAGAAAGCATGTTTGTTTGGATAGAGTTTTATTTAAAATATTATTTGGAATAATTACTGTAACATTTTTTATGATGTGATGTATGCGAGATAAAAAGGTGGTTGAGAATATAAAAAAGTAGGTTGAAAAATGTGTTTATCATGCAAGCGAAATATTATTTGAGATAATTTGTTATATTTCAAGTACTTTTCAGCTTGTGTATGGAGAAACTCTCTCTCGTCACCATTCTCAAAGAATAATTCTTAATGCTAGATGATTATTTCCCTGAATTGAAATCCAACGTTTACTTTCAGAAAAGAGAGATGCCAAGAACAAAACGCTAGTCCTTGCATACAACAAAATTCAAGAGCTTTAGTCCAACATGAAGATCATTATATTTTCTGGAGGACAAAAAGCTTGTTACTGCTTTCAGAATGCTTTATGTTACAAATTGACTCGAGACGCCTAAATGATTATTGTATTCAACCTAAGGCCAAAAAATCACCAGGCCTAAAACATCAAAGTCCACATGGCAGTGAAAGTTTTTGTATTCTGGAGGCTGAAGTAATCAATACAATCATTACTACATAAGTTAAAGTTATTGTGGATAGATCTTTATATTTGTAGCAATAATTAAGATGACGATTATTTCACAAAGTAATAGAGCCGGGAAAAAGTAACTTCGGCATGTTTTTCATCCAGTGATTTTATGTTGATCTGCCTAATCTTTGAACAGCATCCCTGTAGAACTTCACTCCTCCTGTCAGAGTGCAAACATTGCAGCATATTTTAGACACCTTTAGGATCTTGATTCTTGCAAAGAAGAAATAAAACCCAAAAAAAAAAAGAAAGATTTCAAACTTATATTCTTGAAAAGAACGCTTCTATACCAGAACGCTTCTATACCAATTAAGTATGATAACATGTGACACAAATAATGCACCTGTTCTTCATATGCATCCACAATTTTGAGAGCTCCTTTGTGTGTAATGGCTTCACAAGATAGTCGGTAGCCCCAAGTCTCAAGCCTTTTATGGTGATAGAGACCTGATCTTGTAGCTTAGCTTTTGATATATTTTTTGGGGAGCATGAAACTACTTCTTTATTGCTGAATATATATAGGGAAAAAGTATAACAACCATGTTCCCATGACTTCTGAGCATAACCCACTACATAATCCATGTTCCCATGACTTCTGAGCATAACCCACTACATAATAACAACTCCTAAACATATGCAACTGATTTCCTAAAAACAAGCAACAAATAAAACATTCCTAAAGACTCGTTCTGCAGACTAAGGCACATGTGCACATCTCCAACAATCTCCTCCTTGTCTTAGTGTTTGCAAACACCTAACTTGATTCTCAATTCTTCAAATTTTGCTTTTGGAGGGGCTTTGGTCAGCACATCTGCAATCTGCTCCTTTGTCTTGCAATAAATCAGTTTGATTTCACCAGCTCTCTGCTCTTCTCTTAAGTGATACAGCTTGATATTGAAGTGCTTTGTTTTTCCATTAAAAACAGGGTCCTTTGAGATTGCAATAGCAGCTTGATTATCTACAAAAATCTCTGTTGGCTCAATCTGATTCATGTGCAAGTCTACAAGTAATTTTCTTATCCAAATCGCTTGGTTCACCGTAGCATTCGCTGCAATAAATTCTGCCTCTGCTGTACTTTGAGCAACCACATCTTGCTTTTTTGAACTCCATGAGAAAACACCTGAACCAAAAGTAAAACAAAAACCAGTTGTGCTTCTCATGTCCTTAGTAGAACCTGCCCAATCACTGTCAGAGAATCCTTGAAGCCGGAAATCATCACAATAGGAATACTTAATGCCATAATCTGTTGTACCCTTGACATATCTTAAAATACGTTTAGCAGCTGCAAAATGTACTTCACTGGCACAATTCATAAACCTTGACATCAAGCTTACTGCAAACATTATATCTAGTCTTGTGGCTGTGAGATACATCAAACAATCGATCAGACTCCTGTATAGCCCTTCATTAACCTTTTCAGCTCCATCTTCTTTGCTAAACTTCTCCTTTTGATTCATTGGTGTGCTAATCTCTTTGCAATTTTTCATATGAAATTTCTTAAGAATTTCCTTTGCAAACTTCTTTTGACATATGAAGACTCCATCATGGCCTTGCTTCACCTCCATTCCTAGGAAATAGGTCAATAAACCGAGATCTGTCATTTCAAAAGCTTTGAACATCTCAGCTTTAAATTCATCCACTAGCTTCTCATTACTCCCTGTAACAAGCAGATCATCAACATAAACAGACACTATAATTAAGTTGGCATTTGATTTCTTCACATATAAGGTGGCTTCACTTGGACTTTTAACAAACTCAAGATTTTGAAGATAATTGTCAACTCTACTATACCAGGCCCTGGGAGCCTGCTTAAGGCCATATAAAGCCTTTCTCAATATGTAAACTTTCTCCTCCTGTCCTTTGACATGAAACCCTTCTGGTTGTTCAACATATATTTCTTCTTGAAGATGACCATTTAAAAAGGCTGACTTTACATCCAACTGGTAAAGTTTCTAACCTTTTTGTGTAGCCAAGGCCAACAACATCCTGATAGTGTCTAAACGTACAACAGGAGCAAAAGTTTCTGAAAAATCTACCCCAAAAATTTGACTATACCCCTTCACAACTAACCTGGCTTTGAGTTTGTTAACAGAACCATCAGCATTGAATTTGGTTCTATAAACCCATTTCACTCCAATGATCTTTCTATTTTGAGGTTTGTCTACCAATTCCCAAGTGCCATTCTTCTCGATCATACGAAGCTCTTCTCTCATGGCTTCAACCCAGTTGTCATCTTTCTCTGCTTCCTTAAATTCTGCAGGTTCAAAAACAGCAACATTGCTTCTTTCATAGATATCAGATAGAGATCTTGTGTCACGAGTTGGGATATCATCGATATTGTCATCAAGATAATGTGTATCCACTAGCACCTGTTTTTTTAATTATTCCTTCCAACTCCATTGTTTATCTTCCATAAACTTGACATCTCGACTTACAATAATTTTCTCATTTTGTGGTTGAAAAATTCTGTAAGCTTTGGAAGTGCTGCTATAACCAACAAAAATACCTGCTTCTGCCTTCTTGTCAAGTTTGTCTCGTTTCACCTGTTGCACATAAGAAAAAGAGAGGCAACCAAAAGTTCTTAGATTTTGTAAATCTGGTTTGTAGCCAAACCAGGCCTCAAATGGTGTTTTTCCTTGTACAGCTCTAGTTGACAGCCTGTTTAACAGGAAAACTGCTGTGCTTGCAGCTTCTGCCCAAAGATTCTTTGGTAACTCCTTTTCATATAGCATGCACCTCGCCATCTCCATGATGCTCCGATTTTTCCTTTCACTCACACCATTCTGTTGTGGAGTGTAAGGTGCTGTGAGTTGGTGTTCAATGCCGGTTTCCTCACAAAACTTGTCAAAAACTTCATTTGTGTACTCTTTCCCATTGTCAGACCTTATTATACGCAACTTGCAATTACTTTGATTCTCCACAAAAGCTTTAAACTTCCAAAAAGTGTTAGCAACCTCAGCTTTGGATTTGAGAAAATAAATCCAGCAAAATCTAGTATAATCATCTATAAAGACAATATAGTATTTACTAGCATTCAAGGATGGAGTTGCTTGAGGTCCTCCAACATCTGTGTGTACAAGTTCCAGCTTGTGTGATGCTCTCCAGGATGATTGAGAAAATGGTTTTCTTACTTGCTTTCCATATTGACAAGCCACACAATTTGCTAGTTTATCCTCCAACAATGCTACACCCTTCACAAAGTTATTTTCTGCATATATAAAAGTCCAGCATGATGGAAATGCCCAAGTCTTTTATGCCACAATTCTGCATTGCTTATATGACTTGCAAGTACTGCGTGCTCATCCTCCATCAAATTTAAGGCAAAGCTCTTGGCTCTCATCTTCACTTTAAACACATCTTTGCCCCTTACATCCTTGATTAAGCAGCACTTGTCTTCAAAAATAACTTTAAAGCCTTTTTCAACAAGCTGTCCAACACTAAGCAAGTTTTGATCAATATCAGGCACATATAAAACATCAGTGATGTGTTTCAAACCTGTCAAGCTTTCAATAGCCACGGTCCCTTTCCCCTTGACTGAGATAAACTTACCATTTCCAATTTTTACTTTGGAAATGAGAGTCTTATCAATCTCTGTAAAAAGAGCTTGATCATTGGTCATGCTGAAACACAATCACTCTTCAATCATGTTGATCCACCAGTTTTTTATGGCCAAAATTATCAAGCATGGGCTGTTAGGATGACAGTCCACCTTGAGGTATTGGATCTTTGGGAGGCTATAGAAGAAGATTATGATGTTCTACTGCTACCAGCAAATCCAACGGTGGCACAAATGAAGAATCATAAGGATAGAAAAACAAGGAAGTGAAAGGCTAAAGCATATCTTTTCTCTGCCGTTTCAAGCACCATATTTACCAGGATCATGAATCTGGAATCAGCCAAAGACATATGGGACTATCTCAAGAAAGAGTACTAGGGCAATGAAAGAACCAAGAATATGCAAGTGCTCAACCTAATCAGAGAGTTCGAGATGGTAAAGATGAAGGAGTCAGAAACGATTAAAGACTACTCTGACAAGCTGCTAGGCATTGTTAACAAGGTGAGACTGCTCGGTAAGGACTTTTCTGATGAGAGAATCGTCCAAAAAATTCTTGTCACTTTGCCTGAGAAATATGAGTCTAAAATTTCTTCTTTGGAAGAGTCTAAAGATCTGTCAAGCATATCCTTGGCAGAGTTAGTTAATGCTTTGCAGGCTCTAGAGCAAAGAAGAATGATAAGGAAAGAAGAAACTGTAGAAGGTACTTTCAAAGCCAAATCAGAAAATTCTAGAGGAGGAAAAGACAAGAAAATTATGGAGAAAAGCAGCAAGTTTAGCAAAGCCAACAAAAATGATGCAAGTTCACCTTGCCCATATTGCAAGAAGTTGAACCATATGCCAAAAAGGTGTTGGTGGAGGCCTGATATCAAGTGTAGAAAGTGTGGCAATATGGAACACATGGAGAGGGTCTGCAAATCGCAACAGTTCGAAACAGCAGGAGTGTCCACAGAACAACAAGAGGAAGAACAACTCTTCGTGGCTACGTGGTTTGCTACCAACAACAGCTCAAGTGCCATCGTTGGATTTGCTAGTAGTAGTGGAACATCATAATCTTCTTCTATAGCCTCCCAAGGATCCAATGCCTCAAGGTGGACTGTCATCCTAACAGCCCATGTTTGATAATTTTGGCCATCAAAAACTGGTGGATCAACATGATTGAAGAGTGATTGTGTATCAGCCTCCATTCTGAAAGTTTTTGTTTATATCACTCAATCTTACAGGTCCCTCAAGATAAGAGCTCTGATGCCAATTTGTAGTTTAGCTTTTGATATATTTTTTGGGGAGCATGAAACTACTTCTTTATTGCTGAATATATATAGGGAAAAAGTATAACAACCATGTTCCCATGACTTCTGAGCATAACCCACTACATAATCCATGTTCCCATGACTTCTGAGCATAACCCACTACATAATAACAACTCCTAAACATATGCAACTGATTTCCTAAAAACAAGCAACAAATAAAACATTCCTAAAGACTCGTTCTGCAGACTAAGGCACATGTGCACATCTCCAACAGATCTCTTGTTGTTGAAACTTAAAGAATGATTTAAGATGAAAGAAAAAATTTGTTTCTGTTAATCTCCCCGGAATTTCTATATAAATGAGGGCTGTTTACTATTGCTGTACATTATAACCAAAAGAGAAAGAAGCTTACTGATCACAGGAATGTGTTGCAGGTCCTTATTGTGCATAATATATCTCAAGATTTCTGCACCATTCGCCATAAGAAGGTTGACTTCCGCAAGTATGATGTCAGTATGAGGTCCATCAGAATTCAAAGCATTTACTATCTGCATCTCTGACCATGCTGTGGTCACTGAGAAGCAATAATATATTCAGAGTAAAATCATTTCATCTTCTTCACTTTTCCAGGTAGAGACAATAGTTCAAACAAAAGTTACAGACGTTCAATTATGGGAGTGTGCATTGATCTTGTTTCATGTCCATTATGTCGCGGAACTCGAAAGTACCAAGAACAGAAACTACTGATGTTATGTAGAAACCGAATCTTGTTTAGTAAACAAAGGTTTAGGATAAAGCTCATGCGGTAGGGTAACTGATGGATGTTTGAATTAGCTTGTTAGTTTTGTTGGTCATACTAAATTTAACCTTTTCTTATCTAAATTTTTTTTCTGTAAAAGTGAGCAAACAGGGAAACCTACATAAAAGGCAACATGAGTTGGTGAGCATCAACATCATATTTCCCTTACATTGCATTAGTAGTGATGTGAAATTTGTTCAATTGCTTCCTGCATGTAGGCTGTCAATGTATGAATGTGGAACATATTTTTTCCAATACTTCCCAAAAACATGTGCTTCTAACTTCTCCTATTTTGCAGCTGAATGCATCTTGGAAACATATGAGAAATCTGGAGGTAAGGTCACATCTAAGAATTAATACCAGTATTTAGGAACTTATTAACCTATATTGCCTAAGTTCTAGTTTAAACAATGCACAGCTAAAGCTACCAAGAGAGTTATGCATTCGTTACCGGTTTAATTTACCCCTGGCAATGAAAGCTTAGAGTAGAAACAAAGAAAGAAAATAAAAAAGAAGAATTTTACATGGAGTAGCATACCTAACTACAGCTGAGGCATTGAAAGCAAACAGAACACTAAAGAATCAGTAACAGTAGTTGTCAAGCCTAAGGTATGAACTCTAATAAGGAAAACAGAACAATTTAGCTAAGATCCAAATTAGGACAAGAATGTAGCTGTTAGGTGGAACAACATGATGGTAGTCTTCGAGTTCTGAATAAGGTAATTTGACTGTCACCTTTTGCTGTGACTACTTAAAGAGAAAAACCGTAACTGTATCAACTCAAGTCAACAAGATGTTCCAACCTAGAGCAGGCAAATGATCCAGAATCTATGCATTGTCACTTAGTCACACAGTTAGATAACCATTTGCTATCATCCCTCTTATTTGTTCAAAAAGAGTTTAATGACCACTTATGTTGAGCTTAACACGAAGAGTTTGAAGTCTGAGCATAAGGCATTTGAAGAGCTCCAGTTCCACCAAGTGGAAACAAATATTTAGCACAACGGTACTTTAATATATCTGATTAAAGGCTGGTATATCTATAACCAGTGTCTATATCTATCCAAAAAATTCTGTAGCAGAGTTCATTCTGCATAGTGCAGCGTCCTGCAGGTAATGGTGATGAAATGTACCATTCACAACTGCACTAAACTTCTTGGATTAGTCTCCTTAGCAACAGTGTAATGAGGTACATGATCGTAACAGTAAGTAAAGTTGATACAACGAAAAAGAAGAACAAGAGAGAAAACGAAAAGTATGCCAAATGCTGTAATACCCTGGTAAGAGCATTGGCAGAGTAGAGAGAATATTTGGCGACAGCTTTCTGCATTGCTGTCGCAAAGCAATATCCTGACTTCACTCCGTTCAGTGGCACTATGGTTTTTAGCCCCATTACCACGAAAACCACCCTCACTCTTTACGACATTTTCCCCCCTATTCATTGCATGTAATGCATACACTTCACCTAATAGAAGCCTTGAGCAACAATTTAAGTATAGCAGAGAGCTTATAAATAATGCCAATCCAACAACTCCACATGCATGTCTCTAAAGTATCTTGATTTTTTCTACACTTTCAGGGATAGCAGAGCAGTGAAAAAACATATATCCTATAAATTGTCCAAACAAGAGTTTGGTCTGCCAAATCCTTTTTGTACGCCTGATTGAATTTCAATGAATAGAACGTGCCAGATATTTATCTTCTCTAGGTGAGAATGTTTTGATTTTGACTACATTTACATGATTTCAAGGCAAGAATCAAATGATTTAAGAAGCAATATCTGGATAATGAACTTGATAGTAGCTGTAATTTGCTATGGTAGGAACACAAGCTTAGCACTGTGCATTTCACGCGTACTCATTCTACCATGCAAAGAAATGAACTCATTATGCAATCATGCCAGCTTAAAGCATAAACAATTTCAAAAGAATAATCTATTCTCTCAGTTTGTACTTTTCAGAGTGACTTATACATAACCAAAACTGCACCTTTGGCTGGAATCGAAAAAAATCTAGCAACAATCATAATACTCAGTTAACCTCTTATACACCTTTTGGAGCAGTTAAAATGCCATTGCACTATGATACTAGAGAACAAAGTTTCCAAGAGCTGGTTGTTGTTGACAGCTAATTCATTGACAAGCCTAAATCCTGTGCAGTGATTTGGATTAGACTGTAGTTTCTCAATGATATTCCTCTTTGACTTACTATTAGATAACAACAGAAGAAACTTGCAAACCGCATAATGAATACTGTCTTCTTTTACTTCTGTATTAATTACATGACACTTTCTTTTCCTTACCTACTTGAGATTTAGCCGTTGGAGGAAAGACAAACTAAGCACATTTAATGCCTAAACCTGAAATCAAGACTATTAAGGGAGTCTAACGATCTTATCAGTCTTGTCAGATTATACCGTAATAAGCATAAGGCTTATATCAACGTGAGACAGTATGGGATTTTTAGAGTTTCTTATTATTTCTAAGTTGTCCTCGATCTGATGGAGACCTGCATCTACAACTTCGAGCATTTATAGATGCTAACACCTTAATAATACCTTAATTATGTCATTTCCTTGATAACAGATTTTGTTTCATTAACATGAAGAAAGCCAACTACTGCATTCTTATGCTTAAGCTTAACCAATGTTTTACTTACGGTTTCCCAATTAAGTGTGGTAAGCAAAATCAGTTGTGCAGGCAATTAAAAGCTATTACCATCTAGGCAAGGCGAAAGGCAACTTATAACATGATCAGACAATAGAATATTATCTTATATCTATTATCTATTACCTATTACTATATTAATTATTAATTACTATATTAAAAGTCGGATGAGTCTTGGCATTGAAGGGTGTAAGCATTTTTTTCATCTTAGTTTTTGTTGTACCCATATTACCCCAACTTTCAATGAGAGTTATTACATTTTGATTGTCATAGTAATTTAAAATATGAAACATTCCAATTGATTAAATCTCAATAATAATGGTAATCAAAATGAAAAACTCTCTATTAAAACTATTTAGGACTCTTACACTCCATTTCCAATTCTTACGTAAGTGAAAGTTTCTTATTCAAAACAATTTTTTACTCAAAATAGTGTAACCAGTTGCATTAGCCATGATTTTAAAATTGTAAAAGAAATGTTAATATAAAAAATAGCTACTTTTAGAACAAAAGAGAAATATATAAGAAGAAAAGAGTCCATATTCATTTTAAAATTTTTGATAGGAATATCAAGAGATAGATGTATAATAATGTGCTTTTTATCAGTATGAAGAAATACTAAAAGACAAGCAAAAATTAAAGAATCCAACTATTTCTATCAAATTGAATATCAATTAACGATTGAATAGGCAATCTAAGATAATTAAGTAGTATAAATCATTTACAGTATTTATTATCCTCGGCAACACAGTAAAAATGTAAACAAACCAAATTCAACAATACATCTCTCATTATTCAATTCAAATTCACAAAACAAAAAAATTGAAAAGTTCAATTGGAAATATATAAAATAGAATAATTAAATATTCATGTGAAGTTGGACATGAGCATAGTTCATATATTTTATTCTTAAATAATCTATTCACTCTAATTGTATAATTGCATTTTGTTTGTCTTAGCAAGGAAAAAAATAACATTCAAAATGTTGATACAAATTTTTTCAATTGTTAAAATTTGTTGATTTCATCATAAACTTAACCATGGGTTTATATTTAAGTAAAACAAAAGGCACATCTAAACTCTGGCTAGTAAATGAGCTTGCCAAGAGGTAAAGGAAGGGTGAGTGTGGTGAAAATAATTAGAATGATAAAATCTAACAAGCCATTTTATTTACTCTAATACCTCTCTAGAAATTGATTTTATGACTCAAGTCCTTACTTTTCTAACAATTATGAATTCTATTTACAAGGCTCACACTTAGACATGTGTACATATTTCCTGTTCGACAAAATCGTTTGCATAACATTAGAAAAATAATATTATGATTTAATGATAAACATATTCAGTATACAACAACTTTAGTGAAACATGATCGTATTATGAATTGTTTATCAAAACTAAATGCATAATTTACTGTAAAGCTCAAAATAAATTCAAAAAACAGAAAGTTCAAAATAAATTCAAAAATCAATAGATCAAAGAGTTCATATTTAGAATGTTTTTGTAATAACAATTGGTTAAAGAAATTGAAATATAAAATATTCTATTATCAGATAAACAATCAAATTTCACACACATATACATATATACACACATATATATGTATATATATAATAGATGTTATATTTGGTTTAATATAATCACGTGCAAAAGTTGGTTAACTATTAATGGAATCAATACGAATGCTACCACTTTTTCCTTAATATCACATTTGTCTTTAATATGTTACAACATAAGGGGCAAGTTTAGGGAATGATTTAATACCAAAAGGGGAAAGCTTATGCATGATAGATTCATTATACAAGTAACTGTTGGCTAACCATAAATGATGATGATTGTATTAGTACTTTGATAAGCTAAATAAACAGAGAGCTTACAGCCTTTTTACCAAAATAGATCTTTGACAACATTCTGTTACAGCTATTCTGAAACATGGGAGAACAAAGTCAAGGGGTGCAGCCCCTTGTGCCAAATTAGAGTAGTGTTACCATTATATTATTTTGACCTGCCCATGATAATCTTGCAATGAAAGTACAGTAAAACTTTTGCTGGTAAAGAGCTCCAAGGACTTTCTTGCAAATCTTCTCTAGTCCTTTTCCAGTATTTATTG